GGAAAGCGTCGTCGGGGGGAGGGAAGTCTGGAATGACTTGCTCCACCTACTGCCACCCTGACCCGACCCCGGATAAACGGAAGATGATGGATGGATGGATGGATGGATGGATGGATGGATGGATGGATGGATGGAAGGTCTCATCTTCTTCTATTGATTTGGCGGTTGGAATCCAACGTTCAGGTGCATTACTGCCACCTACTGGACTGGAGGTACCTATAACTTTGCGAGATCTTGCAAAAGTTACCTCTATTACTTTTTTTTCCTCTCCTCGTCTTTTTTCTTTCTCCATGTCCCTTCCGGGCTTCCGTAGTTTCAGCCTCTTCACAGTGACTTAAAATAAACTACGTCGTAGGATCGACTTCTGTCTGTTTCAGGAGTCCGGCTGAAAACAAAATGGGACAAAGTTTGCTGTCAGGTCAGGTGAGTCTCTTCTAAGTCTGTTTTAAACAAACCTCTAGCTTTTAACATCATTCTGTTTCCCACCAGTCCGTCTGTTTGTGTTTTTTCTTTTGATTTTATGACTTTGCTGCCTTTGTAACCTGGATTTTACAAAGTGCTCTAAAAATCCAGGTTATTATTGTTATTATTAATATTTAAAAGCCGCCTACGCTCGCCGCCGCCTTCACAATGACGAGACACAAAAGAAAAAGAGTAATTATAGCTGGATTCATCACAGGTGTGCAGCGCCGACATCGACTTCTTTTGTTTTCACACAACAAACACAAAAATATTTCACTTGTGGTTAATTTGTTCTGTAACTATTAATCCTCATTTGTTTTATAATGAACCGACTATTGATGTGCGACACAAAACTCCTTTTATTTCGTTTTAGAGCTTCTGTTTTTACATGTCAGCCTTCAGTAAAACACCACAGTCCTCACGTGTGAAAACGTCCGTCTGCAATAAAACTGATTTCTTAGCGACGGTGATGTTTCAGACGCAGCAGGATGAAGTCCACGACAGAAGCCCAACATTCAGATCACCGTAAGATAAAACCGACCGAAGCAGCATCTGTATTATTCACACGTTAACTGAACTTTAAATGGAAGAAACTTGTAGGAAGACCGACTCAAGGACACAAAAAAACCTAATTTACAGCCCAAGTCGTGATAAGAAAGGTTCGAGTGTTGGTCCGCTGTGGCCCTGAATCTGTTTTGGCTCAAACCTTCATCGGAACAGAGCAAAAAAAATAATAAGGAAACAGTCTTTTTGAGTTCTGTTGAACCCAAAATGAGTTTGTCCTCTACAATGAAAGGTATTTTAATGACTTAATGATTGGCAGCATAAAAAAATAAACATTTTTTATTTACTGTTTGTTAAAATCCAGATTTTTGATGTTGACATTATTTACAGGTTTATTCTGGAATTATTATTATTATTTTTCTTAACATGTAAATTACAACTTTTTTTTTTTAATTAAGCAACACAGGGAACATTATAAAAGAACAACAACAGAAAAAAATAGTCAATCTTTAATATAGATTTTTTTCCCTGTCAAAT